AAAACGACGACGAAAGTTTCGAACCGTTCGTGACGTGCCGTCACCGCCACTCGACGAAGAAATTCTAGACCATCTACAACGCCGCGAACTACCGCCACCCGATTACGGGTACACGATGATTAGGGATAGGCCACCTGCATCTGCTGCCGGCCGCCGCGGACGACGTCATCCGCGCGTGCATAAACGCACGCTCATCGAGCTACATCTAGAAGTGCTCAACGAATGTGCAGCGGCGGAATGGGAAAACGTCAAAGACGACTATTTGCAGATGCTCGTTGAAGAGTTTATGGGGGACCGCCATGGGCACCGTAGTTCCCCGGCTTCTTCTTCGAACGAGGACTCGACAACCCACCATTCGACAACCCTGGATCCACCCACCGATTCCGACGGAACGGATGCATGCCCATTGAATGACCCCGATCCATGGCGTTGCATGGAAACTAAAGAGTTACAAACGGACCGTTCTCCACCTAACGACGAGCACCGATGGAAGTGTACAGAAACCATACACGTAGCCACGCACCCTTGTCAACCGCATGAACACGACCCCGATCCATGGCGTTGTATGGAAACCATACAGTTAGCCACGGACCCTTGTCCACCTAACGAAAAGGACCCCGATCCATGGAGTTGTATGGAAACTATACAGTTAGACCAGGACCCGTCTCCACCTAACGAACAGGACCGATTGAATTGTATGGACACCCTAGATACCGAAAGAGAACAGCGTCCCTCTACTGTTCCGGGGGACGCGACGTCGGACTGCACCCCATGGATTAACTGGATTGACCGCAGCAAGCACCTATTGCAGCCGTGCACGACGCAGCCGTGGTTTTTGCAATTAACAGCGGATTGGAAACAATACCTGCGCGAGCACATGGCGGCAGACGCCGACCACGGCGTATCCGGGCACATTGACAACGGTGAGGCGGCAACCCTGCAGATGAAGACACTGCGGTTGTGGAAAGAATGGATTGCAAGACAGCATAAACGGACGGATACATATAGCGACGAGGAGTGGTTTAAGCATTTGTTGAATACTGTACAGGAGGCGACAGTGTCGGAAAAAGGCGAAGTACTTCTAGTAGAAAAAGTAATGGCCGCAGAAGATAGAGTGAGAGATGTACCACGGTCGCAACCACTGCATCCGCAACCTTACATGAAAAAACCGTTAACCGCACAAACATGGATACTGCTCCTGGCATTAGTCGTAGAACAGTGCGAAGTCGAACGCAGTTTGCAGGATAAGGAGTTATATGTGGATGACCTATTGCAACAGCTCTGACATTCGCATGACGGGGCATATGAATGCGACATAACGCATGCTAACATTAGACCACTTTTGCTTCATTATGTGATATACATAATATACTTCTACTTTACATTATTCTATACCTTCTTTTTTTTTTTTTTTTTCGTTTGTGTTTTTTGCTGCGCACTTCTGCTTTGTTTTGCTAGCGTTATCTTGTCAACTTCTTTTAATATATCTATAGACACAGGCTTATAGAGGTTAAATATATATATAGAACATGTGGGTTGATAACAATTAGGTAAAGAGGT